TAGCTATAAAATCTCAAGGGCGTTACATTGCTAAAAAAATTAAGCTTTTTTCAGATTTATTCAATTTAAATAATACCGTTAGTGTTAATAAAAACGACTCTTGTGTATTTACATACATTCGAAGAAACCCAGCTATGGATCAATTGCATGTAAACGTATATATCGTTGGCGATTGGAATGGCTTTTCAGTTTACTGTAATGTTATGTAACATTACGTTACAACCAGAATAATCGAATATGGCTGAAGAGTCTTTGCAAAAGCTGTTTATTTATCCTGAGAGTAGTACTTATCGTTTTTCTATAGCATCAAATTCGCATATCACCTTTCAACCAGTCTTTTATCTAATATCTAACAACAAATGTTTATCAAATTAGTACGGTAAATTGCGTCTGGCTATTTAACACTCACATTCTTCTTCTTACAACAAAATATTTTAAAGAAAGCTCAAAGAGAAAAATGTCAAATTAATAATAGCCAAGCGCTTCAGGAATATCTGAGCAAAGACAAAATTACTTGTAAAGAAGAACGAACATAAAACGTGTATTATTACATAAGAAAACAAAAAATAGAAGTATAAAAAAAAAGCAGTTTCTCGTGATTATGCAGTCAAATCATGAAAAAAGCAATTTTAACATAACAAGTTGCCGCAACCAATCGAGTAAATGTTACCAAAATAAATTTTTTATATTTGATTCGCATTTCACTACTTTGATTCAACGTAAAAATAATTTAATTTTGTAGACATAACTTTATTATCTTTGTTATTGATCTTGAAACTGTAAATATCAATAAAAGTGGTAGAGAGATTGCATGGGAAGAAAACTGTCATAAAACCATTAATGAGTGTTCCTACTTTTTGGCTACTCTGGTAAAAATTAAATTTTACTATTTTTTTTACTACTACTACTACTACTACTAGTAATAGTAGTAGTAGTAGTAGTAATATATCATTATTGTAATTAGTTGCTTTATTATTATTATTTTTTATTTTCTATCGCGGTTTATAAATTTCTCCCCTTTGCTTAGTTATTGTTATAATAATAAAATTCTTTCGTGTATAATTGTCTCAAATTGTTTCGATACTGGCGAAGATATTGTTCTCCGATGATTTTGCTATTAATGACTTTTTGGTCCTTGTAAATTTAATAAATATTCTTATATTGTGGAATTGGCTATGTCATGTAGCAACAGGGTAATAACAAACCATGTAAAATTTGCTCAGAAAATTAGCATTTATTGCATTTCTTTGAATGTAAGTAAATTGGCATTGTTTATCTAGAATACGATTTGTTTATTTGTCATGTTATCATAACAACGCGAATTCCTGCATTCATATCATTGTAATTGGTCACACTCGGGTGTTTAATTAAGAGAGTACTTTGATGGAGGAATAATGTGACTAATACCTGTAAGAGCGATAGCAGCAACCTTACAATAATTAGCTTTATCTCTTGTTATAAGATGCTCATCAACCAATTTTCTCTTGTTCTGCTAATTCGTATTCCTGTTGCTCAAAATTAAATGTTCTTTATGCTTTTTCAGTAAATTTTTTGCTTCTGCCTTGTGAGCATTAGCATTGTTGTTTGGTAATGCCCGCGCGAGTGATGAAAAACAACCGATTGCTAATTGATTATACTGTAAGACAACTGTTGACACGTATCACATAAATTTGAATATAAAGTGTTAATTGGAACCAAAACTTGCAAACACATCTATCTTGATAATTTTAACGTACTATTATTCTCGAGACCTGCGATAAATTACGATAAACCGATTTGTATCTCGCTTCAGCTGGCAAAAGTGTAAGCGATTGAGTAATTTAGTTAACGTTTCTATCAGAACTTGGTAATCCATGAATTTCGGCATACGTGGGGTGGCTGAAAAGTTCTGATCGTGGATTTTTCTCTTGACAGGTGCCGGTCTCACTTAAGCTTGAGCTTCTGAGAAAAAAGCTGGTGCGAGTGACATGTGAGTTGTTGAGTAGCGCTCATTTTTCCTGTCACACTAAACCATTTGGAAAAATTCATTTCTATGCAATCCTTGCGAACTTTTTTTTCTTATACCACCGTAGAGATTACGCATGTTGTGATTCGCCATCAAAATATCACGTGACAGATTTTGGCGGACGATCATCCAACTATGGCAACGATTATATTTCGACCTAATACCACGATCCATGCGAGTTCTATGCAGTTTCTAAAGAATTGTTTGAACAAACGAAAAGAAAAAAAAGATCAAGTAAATTGCTTAGAAATGTATGGAGATAGGAAATTTATAAAGATTATATCCATAATGTTATTAGAATTAAATGTCGAGTGTTTGAAACTTTTGCTTGGAGACATCGGATCGCGTTGAAATTTTGCAAGTTATTAGGGTTTGTAATATGGCATGTTCAGAGGAATTTTCAACATTGTTCCTAATTTCTATGAGAAATTAGAAATTCCCATTCTTTCTAATTGCGACTATTTTCCAATTGGTTTAGGGTATCGTCAACGAACGTACATAACTTGACAATTACCAGTTCAATTTAGGCCAACTTTTTTTTCAGCTGTCGATTAAAACCTCGGGCTTGCAACCATAGTTATATTGGGCAGTTGTTGCCACCCCACGTAGATTTCGAAAAGTTTTTCACAGCGGTAATGACGATTGTATTTGGTTCCATCGAAGTACTTTTTTTACATTGCTATAATAATAATAATCAGAATGGTCAACTACTTATTCGATGTTAGACGTTTGAAGGTACCCGTTTCAGAGAATGTAGGCTGTAGCTTTTTTTTATGGGTACGCTGGTTGTCATCATGATCAAGTGCAATATAACTGAAGTCCCAGCTTCAATTATTACTTGCACGCTTTACGGTGGAACTACCTTTCTGACATAACGATAATGTTGATCGATAACTATCCAACGTATTGTTTATAGATTGATAAACCAGAAGTACTTATTTTGTGTTTCTGTCTCTGGAATTTCATAATTATGCGGGTATATTGAGAATTGATAGGAAACGTGAATTGCTAAGAAAGAGACTGGTAAGAGAAAAGAGTATTGGTAAAAAAAGAGATTTGATACAAAACTTGTTGAAATGAACAATGTTTAGATAAATTGTCTTTAAGTGCATCATTTAACGAGATTAAAGTGTAGCATTTTGTCCCGATATAGATTAACGTGTAAAGCCAGCTATTACGTAAATAAAAAAAACGTGTAATTTGCCTGTGCATAACAGTGTACGCATTCATTTCGTCGTTATAAAACGAAAATCTCGATAAGCCGATAAATCATCCGAGTTTTACTTGTAATTTTCAATTGGAGGATAATAATCGCTTATTCATCATCAATTATTTGTGGCAGATAAGAATTTATTACTATTATTATTGTACATAACACAGTTGAAGGGAGCGCTTCGAAAATTTCTATGAGTAATGAAAATACATACGTGCGGTCGACTTACGCGTCATCAAATACTTGTAGTTGACGAGTGATGTTTTAATCGCAAAAAATTTATCTTTTATGGGAAAAACTTTTTGCAAATCTCGGTCAAAATGCTTAGTGTTGTTGCTCTTAAAGCAATAACCCAAATCGTGTGTTTGCTATTTGTAACAGAACGAGTGCAATCACACGCATTTATTCAGAACGGAAACTGGTCGGTGATCGTACTTTGAATGTTTGCATAGTAGTCTCTTAATAGATTGTATCATTCTGACTGCAAGCTCAAGCAATAAACAAGTTCGTCTCACAACGTTTCGATACTGGCGAAGATATTGTTCTCCGATAATTTTGCTATTAATGACTTTTTGGACCTTGTAAATTTAATCAATATTCTTATATTGTAGAACTGGCTATGTCATGTAGCAACAGGTGATAACAAACCATGTAAAATTTGCTCAGAAAATTAGCATTTATTGCATTTATTCAAAATGTAAGTAAATTGGCATTGTTTATCTAGAGTGTACAGCGCGAATTTCTGCATTCATATCATTGGTCACACTCAAGTGTTTAACAACCAATTGCTAATTGGTTATAACCGTAAGCCGTTGACACATATCACATAATTTGAATATAAAGTGTTAATTGGAACCAGAACTTGCAAACACATCATATCTTGATAATTTCAACGTACTATATTATTCTCGAGACCTGCGATAAATTACGAACCGATTGTAACTCGCTTCGGCTGGCAAAAGTGTAATCGATTGAGTGATTTAGTTGACGTTTCTATCAGAGATTCTGATGCAATGATTTCCATAGGTATACATCAAATTCAATACTCCGTGTCGATTTTTGCAAACACATTGACAATAGTTACGCTTAACACATGTGAAGGTTTATATATAAGAATGGATTCTTGGTCGCTGATTTAGTGATTCTCGTGACGAAGGTTGATTTCGCTTTTTCAAAAAATCAAGCAGTTATTATACTGTATTCAAATAATCTTAGTTGCTGAATAGGGATTCCAGCAATGATGGTTGATTTCGCGTTTTGAGATCATTATCATTATAATATATAGTGTACCTTCCGTTCCAATTTTTCAGTGTACTATCATGATGTGAAGATAATCATGAAAGAGGTTAGTCAGAAGTATATTTCTTCATTATTATTAATGCAATTAGTTCTAACATGACATACTCCTACCGAATATCTGGAGCAAATTCTTAACTGTTAGATACTGTATTTGTGCAGCCGTTAAACAAATCCCCACTGCCATTATTTATAAGGATTATGAGGAAGAAAATGCTATATTAAAATAAACAAACAGAAACTATCATTTTTCAGGTTTGAATTCAAATTTCAGTTCTTATGCCATTGACAGACGTTTAAATAAATAACTTCTCACTATACACACACATGCTTGACCAGCAAATGAATAACACAAACTGCTCATCTTTTTTTAGAAATTAAAACGTCAATTACTGGGGCTAAGCCTTCCAGCCTGTATGTTTAAATATTTGAATAATTCAAGAGAAACGGAGAGGGAGGGAGGGAGGGATGTCTAATTTCTTCACCTTAGACATAATACATGGGATATCGAGTTGCCAAACTTGACTTGGTCATAAACATTTGCCCGCCGTCAAAATGTAATTTCGCCCTCTTCACGACGCACTGCGCATAATAGATGGGTGCAGGAATGGAAACTGCTCCAGGCGATCGTTGGAAATTATAACACAGCTTATGCAAAAGGTCCTGAATCTCATCTGATCCAAACCTATTCTCATCGTAGAGGACACAATAACGAGATGGACGTGAGGTTCCTTGAGGATTCGAATGCGATTTGATATAAAATTCAAAGAATTGCGGGTGAGTGATGTCACGCTCAACAGTCAATCCGGGTTTTACGTTTCCCGTTTTGTCACTATCAAACCGATGTTTAGGATAAAATCTTGTCTTGCGTACTTTGCAAGCGACGATATAGGTAATCGACGGGTTATAGTTCGGATCCACTTTGTGGCATGCCGCTTTTATGGAAGGGAGTTCCGTTTCCAATGCCAAAGACTGAAATTCACTTTCGCTGATACCACTTCTGCACATTATGAGGCTTTGCGGAAACGACTTACGGGCGCCTTTAAATTCACATAGAAGCTCGTATACCATATCGATCATATCGACATTGACTTCTTCATTACCACGACCGGTTTTCCGGCTTTTCTTTGATTTCTTGCGCAGTAGTCGGTGCAGTAGTCGATGTCTCTCTACGTATTGAACGGCATGTTCATCAACGGATCCGACAACTGCTGCAATCGATGGAACTCCCGGTGATAGGTGAGTGATAGCGGTTCCGAGAAACATCGTAAATACTTTTTTGATTCGAGGCGGGTCCATGATGTAATTTATGCCATTGAGTTTTAGATTAAGTTTTAAGGCGACATTGGAGAGGCGTGACATATTCGTACAATTGATATGCTGAGCCTGGATGCATTGGGATAAGATGCCAACTTCGGTGTCACTGATTATTTTGACAAGATTATATTGGTGGCAGGACCATACTTTACCTTTGAGAATGTAAAAAACAAGTTGGGGCAAACAGTTCTTAGATTTCTTATTCTTCAAGATTTTTAAAATTTCTTCATGAGCCCGTCGTTCATCGTTTCCCCATTGGACACACTCGACTTGTGGAGTTTCTGTTGAGACTTCCATACCCAATTTTCTAACTTGAGCGCCTAATTGGCGAAGGAATCCCTCGACTTGCTTTGAGGAAGTTTTCGGCAAAAACGAAGTAGCAAATAAACTCTGTAGCTTCTCGCCCCCTTTGAAGAATTTTATATCATGCAATTTCCATGTAGCATCAAACTCTTTCGGTTTGACACTAATAGATCTACCAGAAGATGAGAAGGTGAGTTCTGGCATTTCTTTGAAATGCGCTGGCACGAGAGCCATTTCCATATCGACAGCAAAACCGGCTTGTTGGAATAGACCTTCTTGTTCAAGTAACAATACTTTCTTGATGTTCAAAATAAGACCCTTGTTTGTGCCGGGACGTTTTGTTGTGATTCTGTTAATCTTAAAGCATTGTTCGCCGGTCAAACGCCTGAGATATCGTTGTCCCTACATTGAGGAATAAGATTTTAATTTTTACCTTCATCGTTAGCTCACTCATCAATTATATATCATGTCATCAACCATGCACACGCGCGCGCGCGCGTATATATTATGTATGTACCTCAATGATCTCACAATATTCAATCGGAAGCAGAACATTCCCTTTGCTAGTTTCGATTAAATGGCCTGTCTTCAATGTTACACCATAGGCATTCTTAAAATGCTCGGCGACACTTATTTGCTTTCCATCTTTGTCGGTAAACTTAGCCTGGTGCGCATTTTTATCATGCAGTTTGCAGACGATGTATTTGGTCTTACATTCCGGGCGATGGAGAGGTCTGACTTTTATGTTTCTTATGGCCTTGCCTATACGGACAACTGTTCGTCCGTCAAACTCATCCGGCAGTCTCTCTTTGCCGATAAAGTTACAAATCCACCTTTCCAAGTTAACCGGCTCATAAGCGGTCATATAACTCAAATTCACATTCAGATAGACTTTGCCTATAATATTCGTTCGTAATAATAAATAAGTCAATAGGAAGGAGGAAAATAATGCTATTTTCTCACATAAATTGTCAACTTACCGTCACCCGGACGAGCACTTGCAAATAATCCCCGCCACAGCTCCAGGCCACCTCCAAGCGATTGTTTAGTCTCACGGTCAAATATGGATTTGCCATATTGGGTATATTTAAGAAGTGGTTTATGATATAAGAAGGCATTAATCATTTTCAAGCCTTTGTTATCGAAAAAGTCCCACTCAAAATTATTGCTAGTTAAAACGGCTCCCAGACCTTCGAGTGAGATTTCCGGCTCGTCATGGTTTTTTATTTCTATATAATACTCGCCAGCATAATTGCGATCGTCATTCAATTCAACAAGTTCGCTGCAACCATTTTCTCCAAGAGTTAGCTTGCCCGTTGTATAAACAATATTGCCGCCATCATATGCAGCGCCGAAGTTTTGGAAAATATCCGACTGGTGACTTGTTTGGAAAGTATTGAAAATGCGCCTTCGGAGCTTACCAAAATCGGGAATATAAATACGCTCCGTTCGGTAACTTTCATCTTCGTTACGCCGAACAAAATAGAATTCGACTATATACTGATAATATATTGATGTCTTTTTCATCCGCACTTCGAATCTGTTGGTCAAAACTTCAGTCTTCTTTCTTAAGCCATTTCCTTCATCACCAAAGCCGGGACGTTGGCAGAAAGTTATCAATGGAGTATTCTTGGTCATTGCTCTGATTGTCTGTAATTGCTTGACGTTTCCTTGGTGGTAAAACTGTAAACGTTGGTTTGTAGTCCTTTTTAAAATGGTAAAGCATTATATCACGACGCAGCCCCTTTGTCAATAACTCGTCATAAGGGTCAATCTTCTCTAGAAAATCATCCGATGAAATATTGGAGAATCTTATGTAGGGAATACAATCAGTTATGATTGCCCTGACTTTTGAAAAATCTTCAGATGGCCAATTGTTTGGCTCATTTACAAGTCCTGGAACTTGCTTGATAGCCCATTCTATTACCGATGTCCAAATATCGATTTCTTCCATGTTTAGCTCATCATTTTTGAGAAGAGTGATCAAAGTTTCTTTTGGTAGGCTTATTAAATTGTCAGATTTAAAAATAATCTCTGGTGATGATAACATGATGTTGTTGCAGCAATCCAAGAGCTTGTTTAACAGACTTGAGGATAAAGCGCATTTATGGATTGCAAGAATGTTGCAATATATCCATTCTTTTTGGTGGTTGATTAAATGGTCTCCAGTTGCAACAACAAATTTATCCAATTCGAATCTGCAAGAGACGTCCAAAAGATCAACCCAATTTATAACTTCATTTGAATTATAACTCACTTTTCCCGTGTAAATAAATCTATATGCATATGCATGATAAATTATAGCAATCAGTAATGACTTTGTTAGCTAGTCATTAGTTAAATAATCATTTACCTGAGCAGGATTCCAAAGATTTCAGACGTGACATCATCAAGTACTATAATTGTATGTTGAGCCCCTTCTTGTTCTGCGTTTTCAGTTATCTTCTTTTTAAGATATGCGCACCTCGTACACAATACCACTGCATGAGCAAGAAAGAGTTTGTTGTTTGGCTCTCTGCCAACGTCGATCGAAACATCTGTATATTCGTTACTCTCATAAAGCTTCTCGTAATCAGATGAAAGATCCGAAGACAAATCAATTGTGTTGATTGATGCAGACATATCAGTGATTTGTTTTGTCGGCTTGCCTATCTTAATATAATTAGATTGATCAGATGTGTGTGACATTGCATGTGTAAAGTAACCTTATACGGTTGAGTGAAATTTGATATTACAGCAAGCATTATGGACCGTCAACGAATGCTTGTTAAAGTATAATTCCTTTAAATCGATTCAGCATCAAGCATACTTAGACGCATACACTCACTGGACAAAAGTCTACGTAATTTTTGCCGATCAATTAGTAAAACATATGAAAAAGCTATTTTTTCAAA